GATCGAGCTCAGGACCTTTCGCTTGCAAGGCAAGCAGCGGCACCACTGAGCTAAATCCCCTGCCCTTTTTTTTTTTTTTTTTTTCCTTCGGTACTGGGGATCAAACTCGGATTCTTGTGTTTGTGAGGCAGGCGGTGGAACCACTGAGCTAAATCCCCAGCCCCCTGCCCTCTTTTTACAAGGCTAACCTTCAGTGAATGTGCCTTAATTGTTTTCTATGCAGAGGGCCCATCCTTGTCTAACTGCCTTATAAACATCTTCTTGCACCCTCAGTTCCTTCCCTCAGACCCATCGATTCCCGCTGTGCATTGGCCTCGTGGGAGGCCCCAACTCTGGAGCAGTGGTGTCTCTGCCACCCCTGGCTTGCTCTGTGGCCTCGGGCCAACAGGACAAGCCCTCTGTTTGCTCGGTAGGAGAATCTGGGTAGAGTGGTTTGGGGAAGGGCTGGGACCAAGAGTGTCCACGCAAACCCACAACCACAGAGGCAAAGCACAGGAGCGGATTTCCCAAATTCCGAGGTGATGGAGAGGATTGAATGAAATCGCGGTTGGGAGTGGTGCTGCACGCTTGTAATCCCAGGATTCAGGAGCCTGAGGCAGGAGGATCACTGAGAGTTCCGGGACAGCCTGGACTCCATAGAGACAATTGTCTCCAAAAAAGAAAGAAAAGAAAACAAACAAAAATTGTGCCTGGGAAGCACTTGGCACCTAGCAAGTGTTCCCAGACCAGCTCGGCATTTGTCATTGTTGGCTCAAGATGGCACGAAACCTGTAAAACAAGAGGGAGGCTCCCCGGGCCACGCTGCCAGCTCATCCTGGATTTTGCTAACAGAGGCCCAGGCTAGTGAGGAGGTCTCAGTTTCCAGGGCTGGGGACCTAGATTTGGGTCACAGGAGGCCTTGCTGCGCCTGGCCATGCCTGGGTCCGCCTGGGCTCGCCCTTTCCCCCCCCCGCCGTCCTCTACCACCATGGGCTCTGAAAGCCGCCTCTCCCAGAAGCGTGGGTCTGGCCACACAGCCCAGCACGGCCCCATACATGGCTGGGCCCGCGCTCTCCCATGGGGTCATGGGGATGCAGGGGTTTCACCTCCAAGGAAGAGGCAGGGACACAAGAGACAATGGGGAGCTATTTCGAGAAGGTGTCGAAGGCCGGGATGCTAAAATTAGAGCCTCGGTTCCTAAAAAGACACCGGCGCCAATCGAGGCCTCGGAGAGGAGCCCTTCAGCGTGGAATGTGAGCGCAGGACGCTCCGGCGGTCCTGGGCTATGAGGTCAGCCTGCCGGCCCCTGGGCCACCCGACGGCCGCGGTCACCTCTCCCCGGCCACCCCGCCTGCAGAGCTCCACACCGAGCCAGCGCCAAGGCCGGGCCAGCGCCACCCATCCGCGGCGCCACTGCCCCTCCAGCCTTGGCCTTTCCTTTTTTGACTGTGCCCGGGTGCTGCGCTCTTTCCCGTACGACGGAAGGGAGGGTGCCCGGAAGGGCGGCACCGGGAGGCCTTGTGCCAGCTGAGTGATGAGCTGTGAGGGCCTGGGCCTCGGTGCCACCTGCAGGGTCGGGAAGCTGACACATCCGACTTCCGGGAGAGCCACTGATGGCTCCTACCGGCCCTCCAGGCCCGCATCACCGGCCGCGCCTCTCACCCCAAGGCTTGTGCCAGGGGACAGAGGGTGGAGCACGGGACCTTGCCACTGAATCCTGTTTGAACCTCAGCGCAGGAGACCCCACAATGTCCAGTCCCACCCACCTGGAGACCCACACCCAGACCTGCGGTCACTCTCCCATCCCCAGCCCACCAAGTCCTTCTGACGGGGCCTGGACACAGCTTTCCCTCTCTGTGTCCCCCAGGTGAGCCCCCGTTACCTCCTCAGAAAGGCCTGCCCAGCCCTGCACCAGCTCAGGCTCCTTCCTGTCTCTCTGCGACCCTCTCTCCGCTTTGGTACCTGCTGTGGGCTTGGGTTCCCCATTAGAACCTCAATTCTACCACGTAAATTACCTGCTGTGGCACCCTGTGCCATCTCCAGAGTGTGGCAGTCAGGAGCTGCTCAAAAACCTGAGCCAAAGCTGAGTGTGGTGGCACAAGCCTGTCATCCCAGCGCTAGGAAGGCTGAGGCAGGAGGGTGGCCTGGAGTTCAAGGCCAGCCTGAACCATGTACATAGCAAGGCCCTGTCTCAGAAACAAAAACAAAAAAGACCCAAAACAACAAAAAATCTGAGGTGAGATAAAATTCAAGAGGGCAGTGACATAACTGTTCTTGGCCCAGAAGTCTAGCAAAAAATCTTATTGGGCTCGAGAGGCCGGGAGGATGCTGCGGCAGGGCTCAGCTGGTAACAGGGTCTGTGGGCTCCCACAGGGTTGCACTTGGCTCCAGGGCCCGTGTGGGAGGGGCCAGCAGAGGCGGGAGCCCTTGGACAAGGAGGGGCCTGCGCCCCCACAGCCGGCACCCCATTCTCCCGGAGCCCAGGCTGTCTCCCCAGGGGCCTGTTGTTGCACACACATACACACACACACACACACACACACACACACACCCCACCCCGCATGGCGCACTCAGGAGCAGCCATGTTTGGACTGGAGCTGCGACACTGGGTGGGGCTGGGACCCTCTCCCGGCTCCCTGGAAGACAGGCTAGGACCTTTGTGGGATGTGTCCATAGCTTCATTTTTTCCCCTTCTTTTTTTCCCTTGTGATATGGGAACTGAACCCAGTGGGCTTCACATTGAGCTACATCCCGAGCCCATTTTTGTATTTTCATTTGAGATAGGGTCTTGCCACATGATGGGAAAGAGAGAGAGAGAGAGAGAGAGAGAGAGAGAGAGAGAGAGAGAGAGAGAGAAACACCAA